TGAGCTGGCTGCAAGGTCTCTGGGTCTGAAGCCCAGGACAAGAAGCAAGGACAAGAACTCATGTCAAACTGGATCCTACATCCCAGGCAAACTTTCCTAGGAGAATGCCAGACCAGAGCTTGGAAATCACTTTGCATGTATAAGCCACTAAGCCTCATAACCCATCCCTGTGAGGTCCCAGGCTCCATTTTTCAGATTAGTAAGCTCAGGTTCAAAGAGGACCACAGACCTGTCCAGGGTTCTCTGGGCCCCCAGGTGTCTGACATGGGACCTTGGCTTTGTGCCAGAAGAAGAGTGTTGCTGAAAGCCAACCAGAACCTGACCCTGGGTAACAGTGTGGGTCCTCGGGCAGTGTAACGTCTCTGCAGTTCACTTTGCACATGAAGGTGACGTATGTAAAATGGCATGTCCACTTGACTGTCCAGCATGTGGACAGCGAGCTAGAGGTGGCAGGACTGTGACCTCCCCTCACACTTCGTGCTTGCAATTTACTCTGCTAGTTGATGGAAAGTAGACGGAGCCCCTTACACATGTTGGCCACACTTGAAGGAGCCAATTCCCGCTTTGATCATTGTATCTTTTCTAAATATCAGTCTCTCCCCAAAGGACTGAGCAGACATTCAACCCAGCAGTAGACCTAAGTGCCCACCCTTGGCTTTGCTTTCTTTGGTGCTATGCTGGAGATTTGGGGCTGGAAAGTGCTTTTCATGTGCTTCTGTGATATATGACATTGTTCTGTTTTCAACTCTGTGCTCTCTCAGTACTTTTGAGTTTCCCAAATAATCTACCAGACTGTCTTGGTAAGACCTGTGCTGCATGGCACAGGAATGGGAAAATGTACCCACTCTCCAAGGGAGAAACAGTCAGTGACCCAGAGGAGACTTGTTATTTCAGTTTTCTCTGGACCACAGTAGCAATGGCTTTCACCCTGCCCACTCCCTCACAAGCTTAAGATGATTTGAAAATCCTCCACTGACATATTTGTCCATCCCCTGGTTCTACCAGGTCTGACTGTGTTCTGAATTAGAAGAATAATGCAAGCCAGTTATTTTTTTTTAATTACCTCTTTTAAAAATCCCTGTCTGGAGTTTCTGGTTGAGGATTTCAGACTATTCTAAAGTTGATATGGGTCCTTGTGGACACTGAACGACATGGAAGCCTTCCTCAACTAATCTGGATTCTATCCGTTACCGCCAAAAGAATCTTAGAAATCCAAATTCCCTCGAAATAACTGCATTCTGCTATGACATGGCGAGCTGGAGAGGAGTGGAGGTCTTCTCTCTTCTTTCTCTACACAGTTGTCTGCTAAAACCTGGGTCTGAGATGAGAGTATGCCATGGTTCAGGGATCAGCTTGATGTCGTGTACAGCAAATACAGCCCTAAACTAAAGCACCAAGGAAAAGTAAACAACCCGTTCTAAGATGTTGGGTAGATTTCTGGGTTGCTTTTTCAGTCTGCATTTATATGAGTAATTTTTGAGATCTCCTCCATACTGCTCACCAGCATTTCACCACCAAAAGCAGTCAGTTGCACATTCGAATTATCACAGACAGGGAGTGAACAAAGAGTGGGTTTTGGATAAAAAGGGTTTTAGCTCTGACTGATGGGGTTGGGGGAGGGTATGAAAGAAGAGATCATGGTTACGGAGGATGCATCATTCCAAGCAGAAGGAAAAGCCGTGAGCTAGTGATGGTGGAACCCTGCAGCATGTGTCCCCTGCAGAGCTGGGGAAGTGGTATGAGATGCCCTGGGAAGGAGTGTGAAGCTGTAAGCCCAACAGTAGATCGAGATAGAAATAGCTTCTCCAAACCAACCTCCCTGGTGACCCTGATAAATTGGGATCATTCCATGACTTCAGCAGTGACCGTGAGCTTTGTGCTAGGGAATCTGCAGACTGGCTGGATGCAGAGAGAAATGGCCCCAGATTCCAGAAGGCTCCGGAAGGAAAGGATTGGAATGAGGGCGGGATAAAGAACTAGATACCTTGTCTATATCACTGACCACAGTGGAGGCCATGCCCACTTCCTCTTCCTCATCATGCTGGAAACATTCACATGAAGGTAGCCCTTGAACTGAACTTGGAAGGACACTGGGAGGATCCTGAAAGAAGAGGGTGAGGGGTTTGTTCCAGGTGAGGGAGCAATGTGTGTCAAAGCACAGAGGCTAAAGGACACAGGACTTTCAAGTTTCATAGGTGGCTTCTAAGGGGCCTAGAAGACCAGTTGTGTCTGGGAAGTGAGATGTGGACCCAGGGGTTTGTACTTCACATCAACAATGGTGTGTACCACTGAAGGAGGGGGAATGTCATGAAGGTCCCCTAGGAATCACAGAGCAAGGGACCACCAGGGGAAGAGCAGGTTTGGAGGAAGGGGCTATGTGGAGCCTAATATGTCCAATACCGTTGACAGGAGATCCATGAGAAATGTTCAATTTTAGGATCTGTAACTCACAGTGAGAGGCGAGCCAGAGAAAGACAACTGATTCAGCCTCGAGCCTACATGGGACACCTTGGGAATAAATGCCACCACCCAGGGTCAGTTCTCTGAGATGAGGGGAGGGCTGAGTACTGAGCTCTTGGAAACCTAGTCCTACGCAGTGTGTGCACATGGTAAGTCATCGATCAATATTTCAGGGGGGCATCAGCGCATTAGTAAAGAGAAGAGAAGGTTTGTGAGTTTGCTTGGGCCACCTTAGCAAGATGCCACAGACTGGGTGGCTTAAACAGCAGACATTTATTCTCACAGTTCTGAAGGCTAGAAGTCTGAGATCAAGGGGTGGACACGGTTGGTTTCTTCTGAGGCCTCTCTCCCTGGCTTGTAGATGGCTGTCTTCTCCCTGTGTCTTCCCATGGTCTCCCCTCTGTGTGTGTCTGGGTCCTGACCTCCTCTTCTTACCCGGACACCAGTTATATTGATGAGGATCCACTCGAATGACCTCATTTTAACTTAATTACCTCCTTAAAGACCCTATCTCCAAATACAATCACTCTCCGAGGCCCTGGGGTTTAGGACTTTGACATACAAATTTTGGGGAGACCCAATTTGGCCCATAACAGTAAGGAAGGAGAGAAGGAAAGGGGAGACAGGGAAGGCAGGGTATTCTTTGAGAGAGCAGCCAAACAGGGAGCTGGTGAGGGAGGCTGGCAAACAGAAATGGGGGTGGGAAGCCAGCAGACTCTGCTGTGCGCCCCCCCTCCCCCGAGGTCCAGTCTCTGAGGTCGACTATCAGAGAGAGGCAACCAATCCCATAACAAAAGGCAACAAGAGAACCAAGACAAATGCCTAATCTTCTCATGCTAACTTGGAACTAAAACACAGTAGTTTGGGAAGAGGTGCCTCTGTGGCACATCCCAGTGTTTCTAAACAAGAGGCTTTCATGGGCCAGGGGGATCTGGAGCTGGGAGCATCTCTCATGCCAGAACCCTGCCGAGAAGGAAGGAAGTCTCACTGGAGCTTGGTAGAGCCTACCCTAAGAGAGACAGCCAGTGGCCCCAGTCACTGGGCAGCAGGAACCCCAGGAGGGCTTTGGGAACGTGTGGGGCATTTTTGATTGTTACGACGACGATCTTGGGGTGCGACCACAACCGGCATCAGGAGGCTGGGCTGTGATACGATGCCCTGAAATGCAATGGGCAATCCTGCGCCGGCGATAACAGTCCGCACAAAATGCCAGTGGTGCCCCAACCAAGAAACAGAGATGGGGTGAACGAAGTCGCAGTACTCTGGGGCAACCCCTCCTGGGATTTTGTGAGAAGAAGGATTACAAGATTCAGAGTCATGTCCAAGTACAGAATGGCCATTGATTGTCTTACACCAACTCCAGGTCAGCACGCGGCTTGGCAGCCATCTTGCAGTCTGCTCTCAGATTAGGCACCTACAAGCCGAGACATCCGCTGCCGGCCTGGCTTTCCCCTCACACCTGCTCTTCTTCTGCAGAGGGGTGCTATTTCCCTCTGGAGTCAGTGGGGCCAGCTAAGTGCTGCTCTTCGCTATCCTCGACCTCGACGGAGAGCAAACCAGGAAGATCAGATTCAGACTGCTCAGGTTCCTCCCAAACACTGGCTCACACAGAGTCCCAGGGCTGGCCAAGGGGGAAGCCGGGCTGATAGCTGCAGGAGCCCAGGCAAGCTGCCGGGGAAAAGCTCTGGTCTCCATCTCAGGCAGGCCAGGTTGCTCCGCGCAGCCGTCCCGGCTGAAAGAGGGCAGGATACAAGGAGCTAGTCCTTTGTGCTGCAACTATGGTAACCTTCAGAGGCAGAGAAAGCTGAGGCTACCCAGTGAGCCAGAAGACAGTGCATCTTACCTACCCTTTGACTCCCCCACCTCCACACACACACGTACCCTGCCCCACACATGGATGGACAACGGATGAGACATCTCCAGAGAACATTTCCCTCTTCCTGGCACCCAGCCCTCAGCAGGTAAGTGCCAACATCTGGCTCCACTTCGCTTCCACAGTCCCACCCCAACCCCATCTCCCCTCCCTCGGGAACTTTCTCTGACCCTGTAGCAAACGGACGAATTACTTCATGCTGATATTGTCTTACTACATGAGCTTCACAAGGATATTATTATTGCAGTACGGAAGGAGAAATTTTAAGTCCATGAATGGCTCTCTGAGGATGAAATTGCTGACTTGTTAACCAGCCCCTCAGAAGCGCTTGTGGGGACAAGAGGCAAGGTCTCTAGAGGGGGAAAACAAAACCCTCTTCCTCCTGTTCATTAGGGTAGCCTCTGTTCTAGAAGTGCAGACCCCAGTCCTAGTTCAGCTTGGGGTGTCTGGAATAATTGCCCCTCAAGGGCACAGCTGCACTTTCAAGATTCTCAGCCCATCCAAGTCTGCATTGTCCCTCTGCTCATCCCTGTGCTCAGCTCATTTCCTGGGCATCCAACACCTCCTCCAGGAAGCTTTCCAAGCCCCCAAAATCTGTCGGGTCTTTTCTTCCAAGTCCCCATGGTTTCTTGTACAAACCTCTATGTGCAGCATCATTGATACTTACGTAAATGTCCCTGTCTGATCCCCAAGGCCAGACACTGACTCGCAGTCATCTCTGTGTCCCTCTTGCTTGAGCCCAGGCCTCGTGCATAGGGGGAAGTCATGGGTGCATGTCTGTGAAAGGAGGGATGTTCCCCATCAGTGCTCTCAGGCTTTTTTTTTCTCTTGGGAAAAACATGAGCAACCCCAGGGCTTTCACTCTCCCTAATATAATTCTTGAAACTTTAGGAAGCTCTATAAAAAAAAGTTTAAAGCACATGAATAACCTGGATCCCTTATAAACCTCGGGTCACACATGAGTCCTGTGCCCTTGCTTGCATGTAGGCTGGCGATCAGGATGACCTCAAGTGGATGAGTTTATGCATCCATAGTGTCCATGCTGGGAGACCACGCAGTCTCCGCCTGGGGCCGTGAAGACCCATCTCCCACAGAAGAGTCGGCCTCCCGTTGAGTCCCATATTCGTTTTGGAGGCGAGTGGATTTTACAAACACTAAGGTCAACAGTCACATAAAATTAGTGCTGTTAGTTTGAGTTTTATGGCTGTTGTCATTGTTTGTATTTTAATTGATAAATTTGTGTTTATTTTATACTTGTAAACAACTATCAATTTGAATGTTTATATTTGAGTAAAGTCCTTTCAGCAGCAATAATTTAAGCCAACACGGGCGTGTAAGAATGTCCTGTGCTTTGCGAGGATGCTACTCAAGCTTGAGGAAACACTGCTATGGGGCATTCTCACTCCCTTCTCCTAAGACTGAAGGTAGCTCAGCCTGCGGTCCTGGGTGAGCGCTGGGAGAGGCTGCAGGAGGGCCAGGAGCAGGGTCCCAACTAGCCTTCAGGGCTTCCAGCCTCTCTGCTCCAAGCCAGGTACAACAGGGCCCAGTGCAGAGCCGCACATACCACGTGCACGCACACACTCCCAAGCTCATACCCACATGAATGCGTGCATGTACACACACAGGGTCTGGCTCCTGGTGCCAGGCTTTGAGCTCTAGAAGTAGCATTTTCACGAACTGCTTATTCCTTCTTCCCTACAGCTCAGCACATCCAGGTCCCCATTTTCCCTGTGCCTAGCTCATCTGCTGGGGGTGGGGGGGGGTGTTGCTCAGCTGGATCTCATTGGGAGGGGAAACATTGGAAGCATAGAAGAAAATCAGAGAAAATACACAGGGCTCTCTTCTGATCCCCACACCACTGTGCACTCATGCACCAGATTCCTTCTGCCAAACCCTCTGACAGATGCCCAAAGCACTCTGAGTCCTCGGGGTTGGTAGGCCACGCTATGTTTGTCCAAAGTCAGCTGGTTTGTTCCCAAATGTACTTATGCCATTCTGGGCATTTACATCAACAAACGTTGATTGAGCACTGGCGGTGCGCTTGCTCTCCTAAGCACCTGGGACCAGGAAGGCTCCGCACTGGAAACATGGACCTTGGTGGCGGCCGCCTTCCTGTCTCTGGTTCCTCCTCATCAGCATCTGTATCATTTCCTAGGGCTGCCTAAGAAGATACTGTAGATTTGCTCACAGTTCAGGAGGCCAGAAGTCTGAGATCAAAGCGCCTGTAGGACCAGTTCTTCTGAGACTGCTTGGCTTGTAGATGGCCTTTTTCTCCCTGTGTCTTCTTCACGTGGTCTTCCTTCTGTGTTTTAATCTCTTCTTTTTAAAAGACACCAGTCATATTGGATTAGAGCCCACCCTTGTGACCTCATTTTACCTTACCTACCTCTTTAAAGACCTTATCCCCAAATAAGGTCACATCATGAGGCACTAGGGGTTAGGACTTTAACATATGAATTTGGGAGGTACCCAATTCCGCCCATAATAGCATCCATCACTGAGCACTTCAGAGGCTGCTGACTCCCATCTGTCAGGGTTCCGCCATCTTCGATGGGACATTCACCTTTGCCCACCAGCCTCCTGCCTGGACCCCCTTTGTGATGTCACGTTCCCCAGTGTATTCCTTAATACCTGCCATTCCAGTCTCTCTACCCTTCTGTCTCCCTCCCCCAACTTCCTCTTCCCTTCATCCTCCTGCACAGGCTTCTGGTCTCCCTTTGGGGTCCTGTGTGTTGGGCCCTTGTTTTCTTTCCCAGTCTCACTGTCTTTACTCTTTCCTTCAACGGAGCTCCCACCTCAGTTCTCTCTCAAGATCTCCCTCTCAATCACAGCTTTCATCAACCTCCCTAAGAAATGAGGGCATACCACAAAAAGAGCTTTGTAACATAACTCTCTTGAGGTGGCTGGGTCCTCATCCATTACAAATTACTCTTAAAGTCAAAGCTAATTTCATTTGCAGGGACCAAGGAGTGCAATGTTAGAAGCTGGGGTTCTTCAAGCTTGTGGGCCACAAATGCGGACAGGAAAGGCCCCCAAGGTCACTTCGAACCTGAGGTAACATGTGATTGAATTTTTCTTTTTCTTATTATAAAAGCCATACTTCCTCATCTAGAAAACTTTAAAAATAATGTGCATTACAGAGAAAACAAAATTTAACAATAATTATCAACTAGAGGTAATCACTTTGACATTTCATGGCACTTAACATATGTTTATCTAGTGAATGGGGCATTGTCCATGTTATTTCCTAATTAGCCACATCTAATTCACAAGAAAGCTTTTGATATCCACCTTATATCTCAGTCCTTTGTGTACCTCTTTTTTTTTTTAATGATTTTGAGTTAATTCATTTGAGCTTTCAAGGTAACTATATTTGTCTTTTCCCAAAGATGGAGAGATTATTCTGTCCCTTATTTATAACATTTCTGTTTCATGTTTTTATTGAATTTGTTGTAAGTAAAATCTGTTAATAGATGACATATTTTATCTGATTTCAATGGAAACACCTGTAGATTATTTTGCTACCTGGCTTGAGATACTTTATGTCATCTGAAGAAAATGTCTATTCTTAATTTTTAAAAATAATATAGGAGGGGCGTCTGGGTGGCTCAGTCCGTTAAGCATCTGACTCTTGATTTTGGCTCAGGTCATGATCTCAGAGCTGTGAGATGGAGCCCCATGGCAGGCTCCATTCTGGGCGTGGAGCCTGCTTAAGATTCTCTCTCTCCCTCTGCCCCTCCCTGCCTCTAAGAAATTTTAAAAAATTAATAATAGTAGTAATACAGGAATAATTATTGTATTACATGTCTTTTTAGAGGGGAGGTATAAGTCACAGACCATAAAATTCAGCTTTTGAAAGCATAAAACTCAGTGATTTATAGTAATTCTCAAAAGCTGTGTATCCATCACTGCTATCTGATTCTAGAATGCTTTCCTCACCTGAAGTAGAAACTTCATTCCCATGAGCAAGCACTTCCTATACCTCTTCTTCCCCCAAATTCCTGGCTAACCACTAATCTGTTTTCTGTATCTAAAATAATTTGCCTCTTTGCACATTTCATATAAATAGAATCGTGCATTATATAGTGTATAGTATACATTATGTAGTATGTATTATTTTGTGTCTGACTCCTTTTCCTTAGCATACTGTTGTCATAGTTCATCCACGTTGTAGCATGAATCAGTACTTCATTCCTTTATATGGCTGCAAAGTATGCCATTGTATGGATATATCATTTTTTTTCTCCACTCATCATTTGATAGTCATGTAGGTTGTTTTTACTTTTTTGTATTAGGTATAGTGTTGCTATAATATTCATGTACAAACTTTTGTGTGAACCCGTGTTTCAATTATCAGAATTGCCGGGTCATATGGTAACTGTATTTTTGACTTTTTGAGGAACTGTCGGAATGCTTTCTAAAGTGGCTGCACCATTTTACATTCCTACAGACTAATGATGTTAAGCATCTTTTCATGTGCTTATTGGTCATTTCTATATCTTTTTTGAGAAATATCTTTTAAATCTTTTGCTCATTTTTTAATTGGAATATTTGTATTTTATTGTTGACTTATAAGAGTTCTTTATATGTTTTGGGTACTAACCCTTTCAGATATGTGATGTGCAAGTATTCTCTCCCATTCTATGGATTGTTTCTCACTTTCTTGATAATGTCCCTTGAACACAAAAATTTTTAATTTTGATGGAAGTCCAACTTATATTTTTCTGTTTGCTTGTACTTTTGGTGTCATATCTAAGAGACCACTGGCCTGATCCAACATCGTGGAGGTTTACACCTTTGTTTTCCTATAAGAGTTTTATAGTTTTAATTGCTACATTTAGGTCTTTTTCATTTTAATTTTTACATATGGTGTGAGGTAGGGATCCAACTTCACTTTTTTGCATATAGATATCCAGTTGTCCCAACGCTATTTGCTGAAAAGATTATTCTTTCCCCATCGAATTATCTTGGCATCCTAGTTGAAAAAATTCCATTAGTTATTATTTTGTGTTTACAAGTGACATTGATATACTCACTTTTTAATGCTGTCTTTGTCAGGCATTATCAGGTTTCCATAAGTGTCATATAATGAGTTGCATCTTTTTCTATGGTTGGGGGAAAAAAAGGTCTAAAGAGGTTCAATATCTAAAATATTTGAGGTCCCTTGTGTCCCCTGGAGGAGTTCTCCTTACCCGCCCTGATACATACTTGGTGGTAGTCCCAGGTTCCTACAAAGTGATGAGTTTAAACCACAAAAGAATACTGAACTCAGCTGAGTTTAAGCTATATTTTAAGAACAAGTCACTATTTAAGAGCGATTTTATCCCTCCCTCCCCCATCCATGTAGCTTAAGTTATCCTCTACATTAAAAGTTTACTTACCCAAGGTTCCTGTCATCTTTCATTTATTCTGAACGCCCATCACTTTTCCCTGATCTCCAGCTGCTGCTACTTAATCTAAAGAAAATACAACCTGTGGAGTTGACATGTTTGCTTTTCTAAATACCTTGCATCTGTCTTTACATGAAAATTTTCTTCTCCGTGTGATGGTTACAGCACAGGCTCTGAAACAACACTGCCTGGGTGTGAAGCTTGACTCTGCTATATACCAGCTGTACAGCCTTGGCAAGGTCTTAGCTTACTTACCTATCAAACTAATCATAGGACCCACTTCATTAGATTGTGGAGAGCATTTCGTGACTGAATATTTACATGGTATTTAGAATGATGCTTGACTCTTAGAATATCAAGGCTACTCTTGTCTTAAAGGCTGAAATTCCAGAGCTTAGATGCCATGCCTCATTTTATTTCCCTTGCACACTGATTTCTGAATTGACATGTTTTCCTCACTAGTGCTCTACTATTTCTGGCTCAGCTGCCTCCCCTCCCCTTAGATTGTCCTTGGATTCTCCCTGCCTACTAAGCCTCCCTCAAACACCAAAGAGCTCTTCTAAGAAGAGCTTGACAAAGTTGGTCCATTGTCCCATCCCTTTTTCCTTTTGAAGCTCCTCCAGCTCCTTTCGCAGTGAATTTATAAAGTTTGTGAATCTGTGGCATCTTGAAAATGGTGATAAGATACCATCCCCAATGGGGCTGATGTCCCATTCCAAGATGATCTCATGGCTTCCTGTTATACTGAGGCTAGCAGAGTCCCACATGAGGCCCACATAAGGCACCATGTCCTTAGCTAACCACATACATGTAGATGACGCATTCCCCATCCCATGTAATACACTTCCAAGCTCCAGACCCTTCTAACTCCCCTCTAGATGTTTCTATCACAAGCTGAGCTTATTCAAAAATGGACTCATCTATAGCCCAGCAAATCTTCTCCTTTGCTATTCTATTATCTGGAAATGGCACTAATATTCACCAGCCACCCAGTTGAAAAACCTGGAAGTCATTCTGGACACCTTCCTCTCCCCACCCTCATCGAACACTAGCCAAAGTCTACCATTTCCATCTCTCAAATACCCCTTGAACTCATCCTGCCTTCAATGCTTTAACTGCACTCCTTGCCGCCAGCGATGCTCTCTCTCATCCACTCTCAACGCTGCTCACCAGAGTAATCTTTTGCGAATGCAAACCTGACTTGCTTACAATTCCTCAAGAGCTCCTTGCAGGGTTTTTTTTTTTGTGGGGGGCGGGGAAGAGATTCAAGTTTTATAATTTTGTCTCCTAAGCCCTACCTGACCTGTCTATCTGAGCGCAACAGAGAACACAACGATGTTCTTGTCAAGGGCCCATTTCTTGATATCTATTCAGGATGCAGCCCTCTCTCACCTGCTTCACTGTTCTAGGATTTCCCCATTTTTCTTGCATTCTGTCTCCTCCTCTCTACTGGTTCATTCTCATTAGCATGTGAACTTGCTCCCTCCCCTATCTTTGTCTTTTTTCAGTTTCCTTTTGTCCAGCTACAGCCATAGTTGCTTTCCCTTTTAAACAAAACTTGCCAGCAGCGTTGTCTTAGGCTTGTCCCCTGTGGTTGGCCTCATGGCCACTACTGGCCTGTGCCCATCTGGCCTGTGCCCCACTCAGCCTGAGACTGCTCCCATCAGAGCCAGCAGCAACCTCCATGTGCCAGATGAAAAGAAAAATGTCTTCTCAGCTCATTCCCACTCTCTCCTACATTTAACACTGCTCATCCCTCCTTGAAATAATCTTAGTTTTGTTGGCCTTGAAGAAAACTCCCAAGAAAAGCAGCCCCCACCCCATTTCTCCTTCCTTCTCAGGCCACACTCTTTCAGTATAACTCCACCCAGCTCCCTACTTCACCTCATCCACCCACTGTTGTGGATTTAAATATGGTACCATCCATGTGCTGTTAGCTTTCTAATCTGTTTCCAATCCAGACTTGTCTTCTGAGTTCTGAATCATAAACCATTTCCCACTCAACATTTCCACTTGGATGTGTCATTAGCATTTAGAATTGACCTTGTCCTAATTGACCTCCACCACCACCAGCCTCCCTCTGCACTTAGGCATGTATATCCACATGCAGACACTTGTACTCATATACAAACCTACACATACACTCACACAGACATATTCACTGCCAACCTTCCTTCAAAGTTTCCCGTATCAGTTACTATACCACCACCTACCATTTGCTCCTGCTAGGAACCTGCGAGTCTACCTTGACAAGCCCATTCCCCGCGCCCCCCCCCCCCCCGCCGGCCACATCCACCCATCCCCAAGTCCTTTGGATCTATTCCCCAAATAGGTCTTGAATACATCCTTTCACTCCCTCTTGGCTTGTGACAAGCCTTATACAAGCCACATTGTCCCTTGTCTGGACTTCTGCAACAGCCTCTTAAGTGATCTCCCTACTTATTTTTCTCTGGCTACTGTACCAATCCATATTTCACATACAACCAGAATGAGTCTGAAACATGAATCTGATCCTGCTAGTGCTCTCTTTAAAACCATCTGCAAATAGAATGAGGCCTACACTAAGACAGCATGATTGTGGAAGTCCCCTTTGAAAAAGTAACAAAGCTGAAACCTCAGGGATGAGCAAGGGGTCAACCAAAAGACTGACAGAGAAGGATATGCACTCCACTTAGAGGAGAGAGTAAGTGCAAAGGCCCTGAGGTATGAAAGCCTGGAGCACAGTGAGTGAAGCAGTGAATGTTATGAAATGGTGATGGAGAAGTTAGCAAAGCCTGGGCCATAGAGGGCCTTGAAGGTTGTAAAACAAGTACTTCCATAATTATTTCTAAATATGTATATATGGAGTCTAGTTTTGCCCCCAGCAGTAAACTCCACAGGGAACCATCCATGCATGTTCAGTTTGTTTCCCATGCCCAGTACAGTGTCTGGCACATAGCAGGTGCTAAACTTTATGGAGTATATGAGGGGAGAAATGTCTCCAGCACTCCAACCAGGCCAAATTGCTGGCAATTGCCCATATATCTTGTGCCATTCCCTCTTCTAAGATCCTCATTTTTGTCTAGCTCAGTGATTGTCAACCAAGCAGCAATTTTGCCTCCGGGGAGTGTTTGTTAATATCTAGGACATTTTTGATTGTCACAGTTGTAGAGAAGGGGATGCCACTGGCATCTGGTGGGTAGAGGCCAGGGATGCTGCCAAACGTCCTACAATGGAAAAGACAGTCCTCCCTGACACAAAGACAGTTATTCAGGCTAAAATGTCAACAGTACCAAGAGTGAGAAGCCCTGGGCATACTTGTCCTCCAAGCCTTTGTGAACATCACCTCTTTTGGAAAGTCCTCCTTCCTCATCAACCACTGTGAGTTTGGGGGCCCTCCACTGAGCTCCCCAAGCCTCTTTTATGTTGATTCATCCCTTTGCCTTGCAACTGCCTATTCCATCTGCCTCTCACTGGAAAGCTGGGCTATCTGTTTCATCACCCTAACACAGTGAGCCATCCATGTATTTTCTTGAATGAATGCAGCCCCCTGAGCTGGGGACAGATAGCAGGGTGCAAATGAATTTTGTAACAACATTTTAAAGCATGTAGTTGACCTATGCACTCATAGGTAGCAGGACTTACCCAGACCCCATCTCCACCTCTGGGAACCTACCTGTCTCCAGGCGTCTGTGCTGGTGTATAACCTACAGAAATGGCAATTTCCTGTGGCTCCAACCTAATAGCATGGTTCACTCCTTTTGACAAGGCTTTACGTTTTGAGTTACTCAAGTTTAATCCCACTAAAATAAGACATAGAACTAGGGCATATGGCGGGTTCCTAACAATGAAAAATATAGGGCTGACGCTTCATTTGCAGTTGGCTCTCCTTTGAGTCACAACCTGCTTGATCTACCAACAAAAATAGAAATCCCTGTGGCCACAGGCTTGTGGGCCTCAGATCTCGTTCCCATGGTCAGAAACACTTGAAGCCCTCCTCTTTGGATTCAGGTTTTGAAGTGGACTCTGGTTGAAATGCTGTGCCCTTTGGAAGGGTTCTTCCCCTTGCCTTGTCAGGCCCTCCCAGCTCTAGCTCCTGCTGGCTTTCTTCCCCCGCCCCTGCAGTGCTGGTCCTGCTGGCTGCGGAAGGAGCAACTGAGGTGCCGGAGGTGAGGCCAGGGCTGGGCACATGACCTCCAGCTCACTGCTCTGCTGCTGCGAGGGAAGCACCCTGGCGTGCCGCCTTGAACATTCACTGCCTTCCGAAGGGCACTGCTCCTCCTCGTGCAGCTCTAGCTCCTGCACTTGGCCCCGGGCCCGCCTTCTCTCCAGCATCTCCTCAAAAAAGATCTGGCAGCTGAAGCCTTCTTGGATGCCATACTGGGCGTGCTTGAGCAGAGCCTCCAACGTGGGGAAGACCCGGCAGCAGGCCACGCAGCGCAGCCCAGAGTTCGTGGTGACCAGCCAGTCCGGCGTGTCCCGCAGCTCCTGCAGGCAGCACTCGAGGGGCCCTAGCAGCTCCGCGTCGTCCTGCTTCGGGCAGCAGGTGTTCCTGCTGGCTTCCAGTTCCCAGCGCAAGTCGGTGTTGGAAGCCATCTCGAAGGAGGAGCCTTTCCTCCTCTGCCTCTTGACGAACTCGGCTTGGTGAATGCGGGGCTTCCTGCTGACCGGCTCGAAGCCCGTCTCGGTCTCCCAGGCCACGGCCACGCCCTGCACCGTCTGCACGTGGGTGTAGAAGGCGCACGCGCTCTGCTGGGCGGCGTCCTCCCCGTCGTGCGTGCAGGAGGAGCAGGACTGGTACTGGGAGTAGGACTGGTACTCGGAGGAGGACTGGGCAGACGGAGAACTGCTCCAGCTCAGCATCGCCCGAGCCCTGCCGGCCAAGTAGAGGTCCTCCTCGTGGGGAACGGCCGGCCCGGGCCGCGGAGATGGTTCCTCTCTCTTTACGGCCCCTGAGAAGTGCAAGGACATTTTCATCAGTGCCCCCGCAGGAATCAGCACCGAAACCCACCTTCAGGACTCCGAAAGGGTGCGGGCTCCAAGGCCCCAGGTGCCATCCACTCCTGTGGCTGTTTCCTCATAAGATGGGGATGACAGTGCTTACCTCGTGGGATAATGATGAGGATCAAACAATGTATGAATGTAATCGCCAAAAATTTGACTAAACCCAAAATGACCATCTGCTGGTGAATAGACAGATGATGGTACATCCATACCATGCAAGCCTATCCAGTGATAAAAAGGAATGATACCTGCAAAACATGGATGAATCTCTTAATGCATAAGCTAAATGAAAGCACCTAGGGTAGAAAGGCCATACAGTATAGGATTCCACCTGGATGACATTCTAGAAAAGGTAGAATTATAGGGAGAGAGGAGAGATCAAGGGTTACCAGGAGCTGGGGGGAGGGGGAGATGTGGGGAACTGATTTCCAATGGTCACAAAGGAACCTTTGGGGATGATGAAAATATTCCATATCAAGATCACAGTGGTGGTTACACAAATGCACACTTATTAAAATTCTTCAAATTGTACACTTAAAACTGATATTTCTGTATTTAAATTAACAGCTCAATAAAACCAATTTAAAAAGCCATGCATGGGACATGCTTTGGCCAGGCCTTCCAGCTCCGTCATCCTCTTTGCCTTTGTAATGTGTCTCCTTCTTAAGCAGGGAGCATCTCGCCCTCTCCTTGAACATTCAGTGTATCCCATTATCGTCTGAGTGCTTGTCACGTTTTAATTCCATTAATATTGAAAAAAAAAACAGGAAATTACACTGTTGTGATTCCCATTTGACAGATTAGGAAACTGAGTCACAAAGAGCTTAACTGACTGACAAGCTGGTATTACCCTTAGGTGCTGTCCATGGTCACTTCATAGTGGTCTTCAAATTGATGTTCTAGATTAAATTTAATCAATCTATTATAAAGGACTTCTTCATATTATTCTGAAATCATAGGATTGACATGCCAATTCTGTTTCTCCAATGTACATTAAAATATATAATGATGAACGTCTTTACAGTTTCATCCTCATACCTTCTGAAATTATCTCATGTACTCACAATGGCCTCAGGCATATCCACCATCCATTTTTATGGCCAATACAACATTTTGTTAACAGCACCGAGGGGTGACCCCGTGCCCACTCCTCACCCTCCAGGACCTCCCTCCCAGGGAACACACCTGGCAGCGCCTTCCCGCCCTTTCTTCTGACCTACCTGACCAGGATACTTCCACCCTCTCTTCTGTGGACTCCGGGCTGGCCAAGCTGAGGCTGGCCCCATCTGTGGGTGACTGTTCTCCCCTATGGTCTGTGAAGTGGCGTTTCATGATTGGACACCAGCACGCAGGAGACTCAGTGCTCCAGCTGTTTGGTGAGAGTTGGCTTGGGCTGTGCTGAAGCCCTCCACTGGCCCCAGCCTGAGTGGCTTCTGGGCTCCCTGTGGTCACTAGGATCCTGGCTTTATTCTGTGACCTCATCAATGACACTGGCCTGTTCTGTGAACCAGGGCAAGGACTCAGACCCAGCCTGGAGGCCGGGAGAGGCTTCCCATCAGGATCTCATTTCCCCATGGAGGTCTTTCCTGCCTTGCTTATTGTCAGGAACACAAACACAAAATACAAACACACACACATATAAACACTTGTACACACAGGGAGACACAAACACATAAACATACCCACCAAGACGCTTATACATATATAAGCACACATATCCTCGCGCTGACACATAATCACTCAGATACATGTACACTCAAACATACATAAACACACACATTTAAACACACAGACACATCCATATACATTCATACACATACAAACTAACACACACATACACCCAGATTCACACACATATTCACCTAACAACACACATATGTTCACACATGCATATGCACTAGTTCACACCACATTCACTTAACTACACACATGTTCACATACACACTGTCATCACCGAACATCAGAATGGGCCGACCTCATACTGAGGAAATAGCAGATGACTGAAAATCTTACCTCCTCCTCAGTTTCCCACCCCTGCCTCATTTAGACCTCTTGGCCCTCCATGGCCTAGGTGCCCAGGCGCCAGGGACACCCCACCTCAGGAGCTTTGCAGTTGCCCTTCTACCGGGCACACCCTCCTCTAGGTTGTGGTGGCTCACTCTCTCAGTCCAGTCTACTGAAACAGCACCTGTCCACCCTCCATCTCTCGCCATTACCCTGCTTTAGTTTTTGCCCTCAGGCACTTTCACGTATTTGCAC